AAATATTAGATGCTGTTTGGATTGACTATTTCATAGAAAATAGGTTTCAATGCATCAAACTTGATGAAATTAATCTACCAAAGTCCACCACCACATGAGCACAAAAGGCCCTTCAACAACATTCATGTGCTCCTAAATTTTTTTTCCTCTGTTTGAGGTTGATATTAACTTCAATGCTACAACTTAATCAATTTTATTGCATTGAACTCTTAATTCAACTATTACTGTTGTTCATGTGAACCCTTTAGAATATTCTGCATACCTTCCAAGTTCACACCCCATTCATTCATTACTGTGTCCAATGTGCGTAAGTTAGGTTGTGGTTAACAATAACCACTATAAAGCCATCACACCAAAAAAATATCAAATTTAAATTAACAACACCAAATAACAAAATAGAGCACAAATACGAGATGGCATACTTTACAATCATTCAGATCAAAACTTCTATTCTTATTATGAAACAATAAACATTCAACACTTACCTTCTACTTTATATAATACACAACACAGCACTACATACAAGTGGTAGAACTACCCTTTTTAAAACAATCAAGATATATCCTAACATACATACAAATAAATGTTTTACACATTTGGGAAAGCTAAAACCAAACAACATCATCGTCCCGTTAGAAGATCAAATGTTAAGGCTCGAGGCAACCATGGGTGGAGAAACAATAGCTCCATTGTGACGCCCCTAAAACTGGGGGTCCCGTTGACAACCCGTCAACCGCGCGGAATGTCCGTGAGTGTCACTTGAGCCGACATCTCACCAATAATATCCCAATACCCGAGATTTTAACTCACACATGTTACCCGTGTTTCGTTATTCATTTACTCTTATCAAGATTCAATATATCCCAATATATCTCTTTTAAGGTCCATTTGTGTCGAGGGAACTAAGGAAACCAAGGTCCAAGGGCATAGCAAGAAATAAGAAATTTTCAAAGTTTGAGGGAGTGTACCGGTACGCTAAACTCTCTAGACAATACCGTACCGGTACGCCATACCGGTACGCTTTGCCCATCTTGCAACCATGTTGGATGTGTGGTGAAGATATGGAAACATTACATGAAGATTTGGAGGCTTAGAAGTGAAGAAATCAAGGAGGTCTTTGGTGTTTGGTAACAAAGGCACCAGCACTAGCACCATCTGGTGGAAGTACCTCAGTTTTCCTCCATTTTGACCATGATCCACTCAGAATCTAGAAAGGTTAAAACAAGAAAAGTTGTAGATCTATATGACTTCTGTATTGTGTCAAAATGTCAGCTCAATCCAACGGTTGGATCAAAAGTTATGACAATTCTATGAAACATAGTCTGGAGCAGAAAAATGTATTGGTATACCGAACTCCAGGAGGTTTAGTGTACCGGTACGCAGTACCAGTACGCTCTACTAAATGCCTAAAATTTCCTGTTTCATCAATTTTTCATTTTCAATTCATCCTAACTCATTTCAACATCATATAAAACTTATATAATGATGTTTAATACATAAAACATGATCCATACAAGGTTATTACAACCCATTCTATATAATTATAATTCAAAATGGAATATAATCTAAGTTTTTATACAAAACTTGTTTCCAAAAGCCACAAACCGGCTTTTCTTCATATTTGAGGCCCCGAATGTGAGTCCTCCACCGGTACGAACCCCACACCTGAAATATGATCCCGTATAGGGTGAGCCAACGCCTAGTAGAAAATTTCCTACAAGGGCTACTCTCCACCTAAGTGCATATGCAATGTGTTATGCAACAAAACACAACCAAAATCCATTCCAATTAATACTTAAACAAGTCAAGATTGAAATCTAACATACCATGCCATGAAATCAGATGATGCTCATTCATATAATTTACCCGAGCCCTGCCCAGCTCCACAACACGTGCCATGCCAATGTGCATTAACACCGAGCTTTTCTAGCTCCGGTTATCTACCTTCACCCCATGTTATGAAGTGAATATCAAACCAGGCTCCCTAAGCCCCCGCCATTTGTGTTACACACCTAATGGCTAACTAAAATCTCCAGGTCTTTTTTGGGTGGGTATTTAGGGACTTATACCAACGGTTACCCAACCGACACGGAATTCATGGACTTCCACCAATGGTTCTGCGTACACCGACATACTTTATGGGCTCTCATACCAACGGAAGTGCGTATCCAAATATCGGGTCTCTCACTTGAGGGATAGTCTAACCCTTCTTGCTACCCCGACCCAAGTCTTTTTCATGCAACCGTGCGACTCAGTCGGACATTCAATCCAACTTTCCCGAGTTCACCCATCATCCACCTACGTGGTGTTTGATGCCAACCATGCATCCACACCCATAAATTGCGATGTCTACGTACATATGCAATATAATGAATTATTGCTATTCCAACATCGTGCCCACATGTAATGAATGTCATATAAGCAATTTTAAACCACATGTCTACATGTTCCATAGAGATTTATATCATATGCATATGAATTCCATAAATCATCACAATGTCAATATCTCAAGGAGCACATATTAACATTTCTTTCCAACACATTTTCTAAGCAGGTTATACATCATCAAGTCATAAAAACTCAATCCACACATAGGCATTTTGGCAAACACCTTCAAGGCAACAATTCATATTATCACATAAGAATTTTCACCTCATTCACAAAGCATAATATAAAACATATAGCATGCTCATATAATCACTTTTTCCATGGAATTACCAAACAAGCAATTTTCACATCACAATTTCGAGCTAAGAAATTTTATTCCAACCCATTACATACTCATTTTTTATACCCATTTCACCCATGTCATATACATAAATGAGAGAAATACATATTTCCTTTTAACCCACACATTTCATATAACACTACAAGTGAAAAATGAACCAAAGTAGGAGAACCCATACCTCTCGAAGTGTAAAATGAAGTTAGGAAGCCCCAAGAACCCATAACAACCTTGATTCCTCACTTCTCCAAAATCTCATTTTTTTCAACATTCGGTGAAACCTGTTGTTTTTGGTGTGATCATGTAGCCCTCGGCGAGGAGAGCAACTTTTTCTCTTGGCCCGAGTGAATCCGAAGCCCGTGGAATCGTAGATTTTAGAGAGAAGTGGAGAGCTCCTCCATTTTTCCCCCTCTTCCCCTCTCACGTTAACCGGCTGAAGAAATGGGGGAAAATCTGATTTTTTTCCCCTATTTATACTCTTAGGATACTTGGCCCACAACGCGCCACACGACCCTTTTGTTTCCTGGTCCGTTTTTCATCCCAAAACGATTAAATTTCGTCCTAGTTCAAGTTCAAATTAATTTAATTTTAATTTTCCTTTAATTGTTTCCCAAATTTTGAAATTTTATTGAAAATCCCATTTTTGGGTCACACGAGACTCGGTAGCCTCGTAAAACGCAAAAAATCCGATTATCTCTAAATTCGATAAAATTCGACGTGGTAACTAGATTTCGTGAGACGAATCCAACAAAGAGGTCCGTTTCACTATCTGAGATCTAGAAAAATTCAGGTCTCCAACCCGTACTGTAGCAGAAAAATTACCATTTTGCCCTTGTTTATAAAAATTTAAATTTACCGAGTTTTACATCCATCATCGAAATTAACAAAAGTAATCTATATCGGAGCAAATATATGGCATCTATAGTGTTCAATAGTGGGAAGTGATCACAAAAGGATATATCTGGGAATGCACAAACTGGCTTACTTACCACATACAATAAAAAGACAATTAATGCACAAAAGCATTCCATTATGATCAAACACAAACATTACGATCAAACGTACAACTTCTACTAACATGTTCATGTAAGAATGAAAAAAACCACACACAGTGAAAGAGTCAACCCCAAAAGAAACAATAAGCATATGCCAAATGTCAAAAACTGATACCCAAATCTAGTAATTGGTTGTGATCCATATATCCTGGGGTTTTTGCTATATTTCTTTGTGTGATTGACTGTTGATGGACCTTTAAACACATTAGATTGATATATTCACATATATTGATTATCTGTGCATCAAACGATCTCTTGTGATTGATTTGATATATGATTTTATATGTTTGGGTGAATTAGGTCAAGTATATTTAAATTGATTTGGACGAGAGTATTACTATGATGAGTGAACCCCTGGGAAGCCCTAGTGTGGCACACCCTTTTAAAATATATATAAATTGTTAGTTAATTCCGCACAAGACCTTTTCAACCCCTTCTAGGTCCACATAGGGTTCAAAAGACATTAATCCGTGCATCCTTAATTGGTATCATAGTATCCCATGGGGGAACTTCTAGTAGAAAGTACCGGTGAATGGATACTTGTTGCAGTAGGTTCTATTGGTTTAGTAATCGAACAAGGGCTGAGGCGTGAATCCATATGTTACAAGGTCGAGTCTATTGTACAAAACTCAAGTTTTCTTGATGCGTGTTTTTTGCAGTTGATTGCGTGCATACGAGACTTGTAAATTTATCATGAGTTAAAAAAAATACTTGGTTATGATAATTTCTATTAACGCAAACAGTGTAAGTGTCAAGATAATCTATATAATAAAACAAAGCTCCTGAAACATAAAGCGCAACAACGACCTAGATCACTTACATTGATCGGCGAATTTTAGAACTTACATTTTAACCACGCTAAACATTTTAGCCATACTTAAATTTTATTTGCAGTAAATATTTTGACCGCTCTTGCATTTTAACTTCCCACTTATAATTTAAGCAAGGGAAATATTTTAAGTACTCACTTACATTGTAAACTACCGTAAAAAAAAGTGTGTTATACGAGGTTACTAGTGAATGGATATGAAAGTTAGTATAATAGCCAAGAGAGGGTGGATCCACAAAGAAGATACCTTATCAGAAACAAACCAATGAACAAACACTCCCTGTTCCATCCAAATTGCACACATTATGCACACGTAGTTTGTTTTTCACATTGCAAGTGGCTTAAGAATGCCAATTCATTTGCAATCAACCTCATGAAGCTGTTCTTAATCATGGCAAATTCGTTAACCCTTGCACCCCTGGCCACTGCGGTGCCCATTTCAACCACATCAAAGAAGACTAGCCACTTCTCTATCATAGGTTTGTACATACTTCATTTGATTTGTATTAATATGTGGGTAACTTTTTATTGAATAGAAAAAGGAAAAATTGAATGTAACATTTTTTTTGTCTTACTACTACATAAAATATAGGGGGTGACTTTGGCATGGGGGTAAGGCTGCTTCATTGTAACATAGGCATTAAGGGTTTAATTCAATGAAACAACTTTATTGCATTCAAGGATAAGACTGTTTATATTTGATCCTCCTCAGACACCATAGTAGTGGAAACCTCGTGTACTGTATTACCTTTTTTACTACATAAAATATGGTTTTTTATAAATGGTCTAGTGATTTGGGGGAATCACACTCAGTATTTAATTAGAGTGACTCATTAGGCATGAAATTTGTTATAAAATTCGCTATGCAGGATTGTTGCATTCACCTTGGCAGGTGCAGTTACTACAGTATTGGGCTTGAACTTTAGTGACACAGTAAGTGCCAGTGTAGCCAGAAGGCCTCCGTTGTTGCATCCACCAGAGGGGAAAACTGACCCAAAGGTGAAGGTGAAGTGCATTACGACGAAAGTTCTAGCTAGCAAGAAGAGGAAAGAAGCCATGAAAGAATCAATGGCCAAGCTAGAGAGGGGGGAAAGCCCATCAAAGAACCATCTGAATAGTTTCCCAAAACATGCCTTGTATGTCCATTTGGGAGGAATTTGTATCCCTAGAAGGAGTTGATTCCTTTTGCACAACCTACATTTGTAGAGTGCTACGAAAATAGGGGGATGCAATATTCATTCAGCCTTGTTTCATCAAGGGTTGACTTGGGAAGTAGGGTGGACAATCTTCATTTTCTAATTAAAAAATGAGAGATGGAAGTAACCGATGTGGGGTCACGTCAGGGCATGACCATAGCAACTCACTCACCGAAAAAGTACTGTAGAGGATCTAGATTGGATCAAGGATGGAGCTAGGATTTCTCTTTAGCAGCGCCAAATAGTAGCAAAATGAGATATTTTAATTGATTGTAGATCATTAAATAAGATTCTTAATATTAATATTTTAGATTCATAGAACCTATTAAAATCAACATCAAACGATAAATTGTTGTATTACTATTTTTAAAATAATTGAAAAATTGATTCAACACGTCGTAAAAAAAAAATCAAATAAGATATATAATCATTCGAGTATAACTAAATTTCATAATGTCTTTAAAAATTCAAAGAGAGGGAGAGAGAGTGAATCTCTGAAATACATATTTTAAGCGGTTTTGAACAAACCCCATATATGCGGTGTTTGATAGTGGGAAGTATCAAATTCAGTTTTGATACTTCAGATTATAATGTACAAAGTTTTGTCATTTAAATTCAGTTTTTCAATACAAACAATTACTTCTAAGTCAATCTTTACTTTTTTTTGAATTTAATTATGTCTTCTATAATATTTTGTGTTGTTTACATTATAATGAGTAAGTAGTCTTTATCTGGATAATCTGAAGAAGGAGTCCTAACCTATAAACTAGGATTATGCTCTAAATTAGGGTTTTAGTGTTTATGTGATTGTTTGAATAAGTTATGCTTTTGAAAACCTATTTGATTTGCATACTTCACGATTATCTATATACAATTGGTTTTTGTATAGATAGTTAGTGGTATTTTCTGCAACCTTTAGGATATTGATTCTTTCATTATAAACTGTCTTCCAGTTGCTACTTTTGATTCCTTCAAAAGATTTTAGTTTGAATACAAAAGTAGATGAGTTATAGATATAGGGTAGCAATTCTTGTTCATAGGTGGGATGAATTCTAAAGATTATTTGGTCTTTCCAACTGTTGAATTTTGTTTTTATTAGTAGTTAATTTCCAACCCTCAAACTTCAAAGAATTTTTCTTTCTTTTTTTATTTTCCATCACCTTGGATTCCAAGTCTTTTCCTGAGGAGATGACCTTGGACTTCGATTCGAGTTACTGTTGAGAGTTCAACAATACATTATTTTATAGCTTAACATATTTAGTTTAGGCTTGCTAATGTACTAATTCACTTTAGTTAGTACAATTTGTATATTAAGCCTTGATTTTGGCATATAAAGGTAAATTGGATGCAAAAGTTGAGTTTAATCATTAAAAAGATGGCAAGAGACAAGTTGAGATTGTGTTTACTCGAGTAGAGATGAAACCGGGACTCTTAGAAGCAAATTGGAAGAAAAAAAGGTCCAGTCTACCAGTAGTTTGATCTATAGAAGATTGGTGCAAAATTCCTACTGGTAGGTGGATCACATTCTACCAGTAGCAAAACTTATAATACTTTGTACTCTTTCATCAGAGAAGTCCTACCAGTAGGTGGATCACGTTCTATCGGTAGCAAAGCTTACAGTTATTTTATAAGAGAAGGTCTACTGGATGTTTAACCGGTAGCAAAGGTTATAGAAGTTTCATAGAATTCATCAATTAGAGTTCTACTGGTAGGTAAAGGATGTGCTACCGTTAGATCGAGATAAATTTTTTCGGGAAGCTTAATTAAAAATCAGATCTTTCCATATCTTTTGGGAATTCTCAACCAATCAAAGAAAGAGATAATTTTAGAATGAATATAGGTCAAAAATCTGAAGATTTTCTTTCTAACAAATATATATAGAGACCCTTTGGGGAATCAAAGGAGAAAGAATACGTTTAGGAGTTTTTCTTTTACTTTTCTTCCTAGAGGGTTTATTCTACAGAATTTTACTTTAAGTTCAGTTCTTTTCTTTTATTTGTTCAAGCTATATTTAATTTAAATTATATTTACTTTCAAAGCTTTGTTATTATATTTAGTTTTTCAATATAAGAAATCAATTTCAATTCAATCTGTACTTTTCTACGTTCAATTGTCTTCTTTAAAGCTTTTAAATTCTTTCTGCTCTCATGAGTGAGTAGTTTTTTTCTGGATGATTTGAGGAAGGAGTTGATTAGTAGTAAGCATTTGCATATTACTATGCCTTTTTTTAGACTAATTATACTTTGATGAAGTTTAAATGATGACATTGCAGGATATAAATTGTACAAAGGTCCAAAGGCAATCAATATCAAATTTTCATGCAACACCCTAGCATGTCGAGGGATAAAATTGGAGAAGGTTGGAACAAAGCAAGAACGTTCGAAAGCCAATTCGCGTTCAAACATTCCCTTTGAATTATTTGAAGACTATACTACTGAAATACTAAGACATGGCGTGTTGCAGATAAGAAGGAAAACAATGAAGTACTTGAGTACTACAGTCAAACGTCAATCCACGTTCGAATGTGGTCCTGGATTATTGAGGACCAGGCTAATGAGTGCAAGGACAGTGGTTCAAGGCATATGGAAGTAGCTCACACAGAGGAACAGAGGCTACTTGAGTTAGAGGTTCAAACTACATCTGGCATTCGAACGCCCATTAACCAAAGACAGGAGATGTGACACCCCTAAAATCGGGGGTCTCGTTGACAACCGGTCAAACTGCGGAAATGCCCGTGAGTGCGCCTTAACCTGACATCACGCTAATATTATCTCCTTTACCAAGATTTTACATCACAATTAATGTCCATATTCCATTAATCATTTAATGCTATCTAGGTTCAATGTGACCCAATATATATCATTTAAGACCCATTTGTATCATTGGAACTAGAGAATGCATAGCCTAAGACCTTGGAAGAAAAATAAAAAAAAATTCAAAATTTGCCAAAGAGTTTCGGCATGCGTACCGGTACGCATGGCTCACTGGACTTCACTATACGGGCACGCGTATCGGTACGCTGTGTCTTCTGGACCTCGCCATATTGGTACGTGTACCGATACGCTGTGTCCTCAGGTCCTCGCCGTACCGGTACGCTAAGCCCATTTTTCCTTGTTTCATCTGTTTTACATTCCAAGTCCATTCCAAACTTAACCAAATTCATCCCAAACATGTATAAAGATGTATACATGATCCATACAAGTCTATTACAACCCATACAAGCTTACTCGAGCCCACTAGTCATCCACCAAGTGTGGTGTATACATATCCTATGCATATAAATACTAATTCTATCACTATGTCAATATATCTAGGAACCTATATTAACATTTCATATCCAACCCTGATTCTCAAGCATGTTATCCAACAATATATGCCAATAACTCACATAATTTCACAAGGCATAAAATGAACACAAAGCATGCCCACATAACACCCATTTTCCATATAATTACACAAGTAATTTCAACCTACCAATTCCAACCTAGAAATTTTACTTAAATTAGGTCAAATTCACATATCCAATTCACCAATCACCCAATTCCATCAATTTTACAACCATAGACAAGTGATATGAATCTCTATCAACCTACCCATTTCCTATAACACCCTAGGTTGCTAAATAAATCGAAGTAGGAAGGAACCCTACCTCTTGAAGCGTGGAACCAACTTAGAAGACCTTCTAGAACCTCAATCAAGCTCAAACCCTTATTTTTGGTACGTAGGCGTAGCCTTCGACGAGGAGGTCAACTTTTCCTCTTGGCCCGAGTGGATTCAACTGCTCAAATCTTGTAAATCGTAGAGAGAAGTGAAGAAACTACTTTATTTTCTTCTCTTCCCTTTTATCGGGTAACGACTGAACACAACGGGGGAAATCATATTTTTTTCCCTTATTTATACCCTCTAATTTACTTGGATCACAATGTGCCACACGACCTCTTTTTTTCGGGTCCGTTTTCGTTCAAAAACGATTTAATTTTGACCTGATTCAAGTTCAAAATTTTTTTATTTTAACTTGTCTTAAATTATTTTCTCACTTTTGAAATTTTATCTAAAATCCCATTTTTTTGGGTCACCCGAGACTCGACCACCCCATAAAATGCAAAAAATCTGACTATCTCAGAATTCGAGAAACTTTACCGTGGTAACTAGATTTCACGAGACAAATTCAACAGTGAGGTCCATTTCGTCATCCGAGATTTAAAAAATTTCAGGCTTTTAACCCATACTGTAGTGACAAATTATCATTTTGCCCTTATTTTTATAAAAGTTTAAATTTACCCGAGTTTTATAGGAGACACATGATGAGCACAAAACATTGCATAGTTACTTAAATTTGTATATTAGTTATTTAGAATTAGTTAAAGTTAGGAATAATGTGGAAATTTTAATATTGCAGGTAATTATAGCATAAATGATGGCTTTTAGAGCTTTGCAACTAAGTGTGAATGTGTGGTGAAGAGATGGACACATTGAATGAGGATAGGGAGGCTTGGAAGGTGAAGAAACCAAGAAAAATTAAATTTGGATAAAAACCTTTCGGAAGGTTTGGCCATAAACCTTCTGGAAGGTTTAGCCCATTGGTTTCCCAAGGTCTTGACACAGTCTAACTGTTTTTCCTATGTTTGACCATGATCCACTTCGAATTTGAAAAGGTGCAATACCTGAAAGTTTTATATCTGGATGTCTTCTGTATTGTGTCAAAATTTCAGCTCAACCCAACGGTTGGATCAACAATTATGGCAATTTTACTAAAAATGGTCCTGAGTTGTCACCATCATAAAGGTTTTGCCTACTGGAATTGACCTTCCGGAAGGTTTTGCGCAGAATGTCCAGAATGACTGTTTTCATGCTCCACTTGCTTGGAGGTCTCACTTACACTTCTCCCACTTGCCCCCCAACATTTTATGCACATCTTCATGCCTCCTACACCCTTGATGGAGACTTTTGAGGCTTGACATTGATGAGAATGGGAGAGGAAGG